ATAAAATTAAAAACTAATAAAAGCATTTCTACCTCAACTGAAGTCTGGTAATTTCCGCGCCGGCGAATGTCGTGTCCAGCGCATAACGTGCTAAGATTATGTCATTGCTGAGAGGCTCTGGGATCTACCCAAATCCCCCCCCCCACCCCACCCCCTCCCGTCCCGATATGTTACACTTCAATAACTGAAGTTCCTTCCCCACACAAGCATCGAACAAAACAAAATGTTACCCTCCAACTGACGTGAAGGAAAGGGCAAATCTTCGACGCTGAATCAAGTATTACAGTAAAAGTACACCACATAATGTTTTTGTTGCTATTAATGTTGTTGTTGTTGTTTGTTTGTTTTTGAAAGAGCACTTAAACGTATGCGTTAATGGCTTAATTCTGTCGACGGAAGAACGATTAAAAAAATCATTGTAAACGGACTGTAGAGGAGAAAAGTTGATAAATAGATCNTCCCGTCCCGATATGTTACACTTCAATAACTGAAGTTCCTTCCCCACACAAGCATCGAACAAAACAAAATGTTACCCTCCAACTGACGTGAAGGAAAGGGCAAATCTTCGACGCTGAATCAAGTATTACAGTAAAAGTACACCACATAATGTTTTTGTTGCTATTAATGTTGTTGTTGTTGTTTGTTTGTTCTTGAAAGAGCACTTAAACTGTCGATGTATGTATAAAAAATACATTGTAAACGGACTGTAGAGGAGAAAAGTTGATAAATAGATCGTTCTCGTGTGAACAGCAGCCCTAAACGAATTTAAAGTTCGTATGCGTTTAAGTTAAATTTCGTTTTGTATTAATGCTTAAAAACAAATTATAATTTTCGAAAGTAATGCTAAACAGATTTGATCGCAGAATTTCGTACACAGACTCGACATTTAGAACTACATACTAAATATTCAGTACCATGTGGAAGTTCTACTAAACTAAAGAGGTTTCATTTGAATGGTAACATCAAAAGATTTCATCCACAGACTCAAAAGTTAGAACTACATACTAAATAAACAGTACCATGTGTAAGTACTGCTGAAGAGGTTTCATTTGAATGGTAACATCATAGGATTTCCTCCACAGACTCAAAAGTTAGAACTACATACTAAATAAATAGTGCCATGTGAAAGTACTACTGAAGAGGTTTCATTTGAATGGTAACATCATAGGATTTCATCCACAGACTCAAAAGTTAGAACTACATACTAAATAAACAGTACCATGTGGAAGTACCGCTAAAGACGTTTCATTTGAATGGTCATACCGTTGGATTTTATCCACAGACTCAAACGTTACAACCACCTTGCAATACTCCGCCGTTTACTTTGGTAATCAAATAAATCATTGCTCGGAAGAAAACAGATCCGTTTCTCCGCAGGATAAAGATTTCTACCCACCTTTTTAGTCGCTGGTTATTTACGCCCTTGTCTTGTCTTAGGAAAGTGCGCGGGTATTGAATGATGAGTGCAGGACTATGTTTGATTAAAACTTTCTCCCTGAAATTTTTCGAGAAACAAATCCGGAAGGTTCTTGTAAAATTTCTAAGGCGCGTGCAAAATTTCGTTTCGCTGATTGGACTAAACTAACGCACGTGCTTGCACGTGCCCTAAATTTGTTTTTCACTTTTTGACAAAACTTAAAACAGAAACGTTAATCACGGGGGGGAAGCACATGAAATAAAAAAAGCGAAAAGGAGCGAAATGGTACTTTATGCAAGAGCCATTTACGGGAATACAAAGAGAACAAAGTGAAAGAATGTGTGTGAGTATCCAAAAACAAGTCCGGCGGTATATACGGCCCTGTGCAATGGAAACTTTTAACGTCGTTTCCAGCTTCTTTCGTTCTTCGTCAGAGACGTAGATAAGGAAATCAAGACCCTGGGAACGAGATGGAAGAGTCTTGTTATAGCGGAGCACCATGGGTAAGAAAATTTCGTAATCTACCCATCCGAGAAATTTTGGTAATCACGTGACCGTATGCCCGTCCGCACAACAGGTATACCGATGTAAAATAACTCAACCAAAAGGAATGGCAACCCAAATGCAACTCAAGGTTATTTTGGAGCATGGCCACCCGCGTCTTGTAAAGCAGATAAAACTAAAGAGTCAATAAAGACGAAAA